TATTTGTTGGTTTAAAGTCTGTTTATCAGAGCCTAGGATTACAACTCCTGCTTTTTTTTGTTCTCCATTTGTTTGGTAAATCTTCCTCCATCCCTTTATTTTGAGCCTATGTGTATCCTTGCATGTAAAATGGGTTACTTGGATATAGCACACCAATGGGTTTTGACTTTTTATCCAATTTGCCAGTCTATGCCTTTTGATTGGGGCACTTTGCCCATTTACATTTAAGGTTAATATTGTTATGTGTGAATTTGATCCTGCCATTTTGATGCTAGCTGGTTGTTTTGCCCATTAGTTGATGCAGTTTCTTCATTGTGTCAATGGTCTTTACCATTTTGTACATTTTTGGAGTGGCTGGTACTTATTGTTCCTTTCTGTGTTTAGTGTTTCTTTCAGGATCTCTTGTAAGGCAGGTGTGGTGGTGACAAAATCTCTCAGCAATAGCTTGTCCATAAGGACCTTCTTTCTTCTTTGCTTATGAAGCTTAGTTTGGCTGGATATGAAATTCTAGGTTGAAAGTTCTTTTCTTTAAGGATGTTGAATATTGGCCTCCACTCTCTTCTGGCTTGTAGGGTTTCTGCTGAGAGATCCGCTGTGAGTCTGTTGGGCTTCCCTTTTGGGTAACCTGACCTTTTTCTCTGGCAGCCCTTAGCATTTTTTCCTTCATTTCAACCCTGGTGAATCTGACAATTACGTGCCCTGATGTTGCTCTTCTTGAGGAATATCTTTGTGCTGTTCTCTGTATTTCCTGGACTTGAATATTGGCCTGCCTTGCTAGGTTGGGGAAATTCTCCTGGATAATATCCTGAAGAGCATTTTCCAGCTTGAATCATTCTCTCTGTCACAATCAGATACACTTATCAAACGTAGATCAGGTCTTTTCACATAATCACATATTTCTTGGAGGCTTTGTTCATTTCTTTCTACTCTTTTTTCTTGAATCTTGCCTTCTCATTTTATTTCATTCAGCTGATATTCAATCTCTGCTATCCTCTCATCTGCTTGGTCGATTTGGCTATTGAAACTTGTGTATGCTTCACAAAGTTCTTGTGTTGTGTTTTTAAGCTCCCTCAACTAATTTATATTCCTGTCTAGGCTGTTTATTCTTGTTAGCATTTCATCACACCTTTTTTCATGAGTCTTAGTTTCTTTGCACTGAGTTAGAACCTGTTATTTTAGCTTAGAGAAGTTTGTTATTACCCACCTTCTGAAGCCCGTTCTGTCAATACATCAGACTCATTGCCCATCCAGCCTTGGTCCCTTGCTCGTGAAGAGTTGTGATCCCTTGGAGGAGGAGAGGCATTCTGGTTTTGGGTGTTTTCATCCTTTTTGCTCTGGTTTCTTCCCATCTTTGTGGATTTATCTACCTGTGGTCTTTTTAGTTTGTGACTTTCAGATGGTGTCTCTGAGTGGACATCCTTTTTGTTGATGTTGAATTTATTTCTTTCTGTCTTTTAGTTTTCCTTCTAAGAGTCAGGCCCTTCTGCTATAGGACTGCTGGAGGTCCACTCCAGACCCTGTTTCCCTGGGGATTGCCTGCAGCAGCTTCAGAGCAGTGAGGGTTGCTGCCAGTTTCTTCTTCTGTTATCTTTGCCCCAGAAGGATACCCTCCAGATGTCAGCCTGAGCTGTCCTTTATGAGGTGTCTCTTTGGATGTTTGGGGGTTGGGAAGCTGCTTGAGGAGACAGTCTGTCCCTTATAGAAGCTCAAGTGCTGAGCTGTGAGCTTCATTGTTCTATTCAGAACTGCTGGGCAGGTACATTTAAGTCTGCTGCAGCAGAACTCACAAATGCCCCTTTTTCCCAGGAGCTCTGTCCCAGGAAGGTGGGGCTTTATTTATAAGTTCCTGATGAGCTGCTGCCTTTTTTCAGGGATGCCCTGCCCAGCGAGGAGGTAGCCTAGTCACAGTCTGCCAGCAGAGGCTCTGCTGAGCTGCTGTGGAGTCTGCCCAGCTTCTGTGTGACTTCCTTGCAGTTTCATTTATAGAGGTATAGTTAGAATTGCCTCAGTAATGGCAGTCTGCCTTAGTAATGGCGGACTGTCTCTGCAATGGTAGACTGCCTCAGTAATGGCGGATTGCCTCAGTAATGGCTGACTGCCTCGGTAGTGGTGGACTGCCTCAGTAATGTCAGATGCCCTTCCCCCCACAAAGCTGGACTGTGCCAGGTCCTGCTGTGCTTGCTGTGAAACTCTCAGTACAGAGAATTTCAGATTGCTGGTCTTTGTGGAATCAGACCTGCCGAGTCAGATCACCTATATTTCAGCCCCTCTTTTTTTAGTTGAATGGGCAACTCTGTCTCCCAGGTGCTCCAGGCACCAGTTGAAATGGGGTCCAGATTTGTGTGAGTTTTTGTGTGTAGACCCACTGTGCTGGCTGAAACACCTGTGCTGGAGACTCATGATGCTTTTCCACCTGAGAATATCCTGGTCTGTGGGCAGTAAAAATTTGTTTGAAAATGCAGTGACCACTCATCTTCTGTGTTTCCATTGGGAACTGCAATCTGGAGCTGTTCCTCTTTGGCCATCTTGGATCTTCTCTATATAGACTTTTTAAAAATATATAAATCCTCTTATTGTGACTTACACTGACTGTTCATGACATGCTTGGACCTTTTTTGTTTGTTCTAAACGTCCTTCCTTTTTAAAAAACCACTTATTTCATTTTAGGATTAAACACAAGATTTTGTCATATACAAAATTATTTCTCTTTAAGCTTTTTACCTGGTTCCTTTTACCTTATTTTATACATAACCTTTAAATAAGCTTTGAATTGGACAAAACTTGTTTATCCTTTTTTTTTTTTTTTAAAAAAAGATCACACTGTCTTTGTTGTTTTAGCAAGAATATTTTCCTTAAATATATATTTACGGGAAGATATCCAAATAATGAAATGTCTATTATTTAATTGAATATAACTTTATATGCTGAATTATGACCAGATTGCCTACAAATATTTATCTCACTATGTTACAGCAGTTATTTTGTTTGCCTGGATTATTTATGAAAATTGTGATACTCATGAACATCACACTCTGGGGTCTGTTGGGGGGTAGGGGGATAGGGGAGGGACAGCATGGTGGTGGAGAGGTTGAGGAGGAATAACATTGGGAGAAATGCCTAATGTAGGTGATGGTGGATGGAGGCAGTGAACTACCATGGCATGTCTGTACCTATGCAACAATCCTGCAAGATCTGCACATGTACCCCATAACTTAAAGTACAATAAAAACAAATATCAATAAATAATATTTCTAACAGGAATAACTGGAAAAAAGTTATAAAACAACAGTTGCAAAATTATAACTGAGACAGTGAAAAAAGATTTGAATTAACTGATTCCATCTTGCTTTTAACTTCCAAGCTGTCCTCATTCATTTCTGGACATAGGTCTAACTAACTTTGGGATGAACTTGGTTTATAGTTTAGCTTTGAAACAAAGAGGATTGCAGTCATTTCCCCAAACAAACCTCCTTATTGTCTGTGGACCAGACTGCCTAAAGCCACAGGATTAGAAGTTATGATAATCTTACTAAATTAAAGATGCAGCCATTTTCATTAAATCTATATCAATGTCTTATTTACTAAAATCCATAGAAGCAAAAATCATTCTGTTTGGGACTGTGTTTATAGTTATGTAATCCCTATGCCAAACATTGACACCTTACAGTACTTGGCAGGGACAAGTATGAAATTTTCTTGATTAAATAAATGCAAACAAAAATGTATGCTGGCCATTCCTAAGACATTTCTACTATTACTTTTCCAAAATTTTAAAGCTAGCTTATTTATTAAACGTTTTACATAAACTTGAAAAAGCATTTGACTAGTCTTTTCATTTTTAGCATCTAATTTAAGCACCTTTTTTTTTTAACACAAAGGCCAATTAGAGTTCTTTTATATATTTTTAGTAGTGAAACATTTTGTACACAACACATAAATATATATAAAGTGGTATTAGGCATGCCAGTGGAAGTACATTTTATAGATTTATAAAGATACCCCCACACACACTTTTTTTCCTATCTTAGAATTTCAGATTCTTGGTAACCTGTTTCACAACCCTAGGCAGTTGTCAGATAAATAGCCTTACATTTTCACCTTAAAGGAAACAACTCAGGTGAAAATCAAATAGTAAAATGTACATTATAAGGTACTGAGAGAAAACATCTTGTGGTGGTAGAGACACTTTTATTTTTCTTTTAGCCAAATTAAAAATAAAATTAAACTACACTTTTTCTTAAAAACCCATGTAGCCTTTGTTGCAATAACTATTTTAGATAAAAAAGGTGAAAACAGAATTCTGTCAATCAAGAAACAAAAGAAAAAAAACTTTTGCTCAAAAATAGACAAGGTCTTAGGAAAGAAAAACAAACAAAAAATAAAAACATGAAGGACTTTCAAACACAAACATGCACACATGCACACATACACACATACATCTTGGATGTTAGCCTTTTAATAAAGCTAACTTTTAACAATTGAGCTCCTTAAAAATTTTTTTAATCTCATTACCATATTTCAACCAGGACAAAAATGCTGCTCTTTCAGAAGTATTGGATATAATGAGTACTAAATTTCTCTTCAAAGAATCAGTATGTTACTATGTTTAGTTCTGTGCCCTCCATTTTAAAGTTTATCTTTCTTGTAGTTTCAGTAAACAACATTTTCCACCAGTTCTAATCAGTAATACACGTATGTTTCCCTGGTCTCCTGCTCCATCCTGACTCATTCCAGTCACCTGCTACAGTTACTTGCTTTGGTCACCTGCTTTGACCTGAGTCACTCCTGGCTACCTGCTCTGACCTGTCCCATAACTGTCCTTCCTGCCAAACTACCCACCATGCCTCTCTGGCTCATACTCTTTCTCTCTTTAAAATAGTCAGTCGGCATTAGCCTAGACTGTGCAGTCTAACCCTAGCCAACAGAATGACACAGCAATAGGGGCTACCTCTGTCAGGAATAAAAACCCCTTACCCTCCCTTGTCTAGGTGTGCACTCACCATTGTTCCATCTGTGAGCCACACCCTTCTATAGAAGTAAATTGCCTTGCTGAAGAAATTTATATTCAAGTGCTACTTCTTTTATGGCACTGAAAATTTTACATATAACAATTTGTTGGTTTGTATAGGGACCCATTCCACTCCAGGGTGATCTCTGGTTCTCTCTCGTGAGGAAGAGCAGAGCATCCCCAGTGTCTCACTGTGGGGGCCTCATAAGTGAGAAGTCAGGAACCACCTGGTGCAAGGAATAAGCCTGTAGTCTCAGCAATGCCAAAAGAAGCCGGCTGGCAACGTGGGGTAAAGGATTCTCACATACTGCGGTGACCATGGAAATCTGTGCATAGACAAAGGAAGGAAATGCCTGGGAGCTGGCAAAGTATTTCCTTGGTTGTTGGGACAAACCAAGATAAGAGAAGCCATTGGGGGGGGGTGACGGTGATTCCTTGGTTGGGACATACCAAGGTAAAAGAAGCCATGGGGAGGTGGTGAAGTATTCCTTGGTCAGGGTGTCCAAGGAAGTTAAAAAAGGTGAGACATTTCCAGTAAGAGAAACTGAGCTTCACCCCAAAAGATGTGACACTTCTGATAAGGAAAATTGAGCCTTGCCCCCCAAAATGGGAAATATCCCAAGTAAGGTAAGGGGAAAAAAGGATAAACATAGCAACAATAATATTCCCCCTAATTATCCCCTAGGTTTAATGTTAAAATAGAAGAATAATGAAAGGACCAAAAACAGGAAAAAGCAGCTGCCATCACAGACCCTTCTCCTATCCATGTTGTCCACCTCCTTATAACCCTGCCTCTTGGGAATTGTCCCGAGAGCTCACTCACTACCAGCCTGAGTACCCTTCCCTAAAAGGACTTCAATGCAAGATAGAGCAATGTAAAAAAGATATTCATAATTTCCCTTTTCCCTCTTCTCAGGGGAAGAAAGAGTTATGGTCCTAGGAATGTGAACATTCACCTGGTCAAAATGTTCTTACAGCGAATCAAAAATTTCCCACCCAGGACCCACAGTGGAAGAATAACAATGCAGCCCACTAAAAAAATGCAGGACCTTAGGAAATTAAAGGGGATTTAAAAAATCAGTACCCCAGACCCAGAATCTTACCCAAATATTTGATATACTGCAAGGGAAAGATAAAGGGCGTATAAGTGTTTTTTTTTTTTTTTAAAAAAAAACAGATTAAACCAACAAATGAGAAAATATACTGGTCTAGGTCTCAAGGATCGTCTTTGGCAAGGAGTGTTAGAACTTCATTTTGTCACTAACAGTTGGCCAGATATTAATAAGAAATTACAAAAGATAGGGAACTAGAAAGGTAAACCTATAGAAGAGCTTCTAAGAAAAAAAAAATCTTAAAGGAGAGAGAAAAGCTGACAGAGGGAACAGAGAAAGTCAGAGAAAGAGAAAGAGAGAGACCAAGAGTAAAAGAGAGAGAGAGAAAAAGGGAGAGAGAAGTCGTAAAGAGAAAGCAGTGTGCCTTATTTCTTTAAAAGCCAGAGTAAATTTAAAACCTATAATTGATAATGAAGGTCTTCTCAGTGATGAGCTTCTTAAACCTTGTTGTTCCCAATCCTTATACTATTACAGTCACCAGTAATTTGCAGTAATAGGTTTACAAGATACCTTCTGGGCCTGTTCGTTGGTAGAGGACAGCTGACACCTATCGGGCCTTGAGTGAGAAGACCCTCACTCCAGTCAAAAATAGCAATACCGATGGACAATCTTATTCCAAGGGTTTACAGAATCTCCACATTTGTTTAGTCAAATATTAGAACAAGTAATTTAATTAGCAAAGGTAAACAGAAAATTAAGCTTGAACATATTGAAGGCATCATACTCTGCCTCTGCTGGAGACTAAACAAGAACTTGGAAAATTTTAGAATTAGTTGGATACTATCATCTATGGATAGACTCCCGAGCCCTAAAAACAAAACCCTTATACAAAAAGCTTATGCAAGACAGGACAAATCCCCTCATTTGGCAATTACCAGAAATCCAACAGGTGGAAAGGTTAAAACATCTATTAGTAACTGCCTCTGTCCTAGGTCTACCCTCCTTATGCAGCCATTCCATCTTTTTGTCAGTGTAAACAAGGGCATAGCCTTAGAAATATTTACCCAAAGGCACAGAGCCACTGACAACCCACAGTCTTCCTATCAAAAGTCCTTAACCCAGTAACCCATGGATGGTCCAAATGCGTTACAGGATGACACTTATTTATAAAGTTTGTTACAAGTTAACAGTGTAACATGTATTACCCTAACTTCCAATCTTGTATCTTTAGGTAGTCTAGTCCACAGACATGAAAGAAGTTTGCTTTGGGAAAGAATAGTTACCATCTTTGTGTCTTTCAACTCTCATGTCTATTTAGATGCAATTGGAGTCCCAGAAGGAGTACCAGATAAATGTAAAGCCCAAGATCAAATAGCTGCAGGATTTGAGTCAATATTTTGGTGGGTGACAATTAATAGAAATGAAGATTGGATAAATTACATTTATTACAACCAACAGCAGTTTATTAACTACACTAGAGATGATGTTGAAGGAATAGCTGAGCAATTAGGGGCTACTAGCCAGATGGCTTGGGAAAACAGAATAGCCTTAGACACTATATTAGCAGAAAGAGGAGGAGTTTGCATCATGATTAAAACACAGTGTTGTACCTTCATCCCAAACAATACCCTCCCACCCCCGCATGGAAGTATAAGAAAGGTACTACAAGGTCTAACTGCTCTGACCAATGAGTTAGCTAATAACTCATGGGTAAATGAACCATTCACAGGGGGGCTAGAAAAATGAATTATTGTATCATACCGTGCATCTGTGGGTTGGTGCAGAGACTCATAGAAGCAACACTTACCAAAACATCCCTTAACTATCCTCCACCTTTTTCAGAGAAGCTAGTTCTTCTAGAAAATCAAGCAGAACAACTAACCTAAGACATGTTAAGGAAGTTTGAAGAGAAAGAGCTGTAAGGAAAATTCAAGAGGAGGGAGTTGTTGGATACAACGAGTTCTAAATTTTTCTTCAAAGAATCAGTATGTCAGTATGTTCAGTTCTTTGTCCTCCATTTTAAAGCTTAACTTCCTTGTAGTTTCAGTAAACAACATTTTCAACCAATTCTAATGAGTAGTTTACATCTGTTCCCCTGGTCCACTGCTCCAGCCTGACTCTTCCCTGTCACATGCTCCAGTCACCTGCACTGGTCACCTGCTTTGACCTGCATCACCCCTGGTTACCTGCTCTGACCAGTCCCATAACTATCCTTCCCACCCAACTACCCACCCCCACCACTCCATCAAACTACCCCCACCACTCCGGCTCATACCCCTGCTCTCTTTAAAATAGCCAATCAGCATTAGCCTAGACTGTGCAGTTTAACCCTAGCCAACAGGGGAATGACAGAGCAGTAGGGGGCTACCTTCATCAGGAATGAGAGCCCCTTATCTTCCCTTGTCTGGGTGTGCACTCACCATTGTTCCATCTGTAAGCCGTACCCTTCTATAGAAGTAAATTGCCTTGCTGAAGAAATTTATATTTGAGTGCTACTTTTTTGTGACACCAAAAATTTTACATATAACAGAAGTATAGCCATTGCTCTTTCAGTTTGGTCTGGCTGGCAAAAAAGGTGGCCTTATGGTGTAAATAAAGCCCTTTTAGTAGTTAAAATTAACAATCTTGTTTTTTCTTTTGCTAGCCATTTTCCTCCCACATCAGAGGCCTTGTTCCTCATAATTTAGGATTCTCCTTTGGATTTGATCAAGAAAAATACAAGGAACAAAGCAGTTAAGCAAAACTAACAGTGATCACACAAATTATATTATTTCGGAGCAATGTAAGTGTAAGCAGATATTAACACCAAGTAGTTGTTAAATGCTAACTTTAGTTTTTTGAAAGGAATTTGCAAGACAGAATCCGAAAACAATTTCTTCCTAATTGGTTCAGGATGGGTCTCAGGCTGTAGACTGCTTCTACCATCCTACAAGCGGGGGGAAGAAAACTAACTTTCCTGTTGGGAGAGAGCTCAACTCCATAAAGGAATTATCTGCCTTCCATTGTCATGGAAGCAGGAAAACTTGCTTGCCTGTTGATAACAAGTAAAATTCCAAAAAAAAGAGGAGTCGTACAGTATAAATAAACTATAGATTTTGACCAAATTTGGGGAGATCAGGCATTATCTGGAGGGAGTGCTCACAGACCTCAGCAAACTGTCCTATTAGTTTGAGCCATAAAGTTAGCGAATGATGGAAGCAAGCACTAATAGCAGATTTGTTAAAGGTCAGGGGCATCTCCACTCAGAATGCCCCCATGATTGCCAAAATCTGAGCCCAGAAAATCAGAGACAATTCTCAGTTAATTTAGAAAGTTTATTTTGCCAAGGTTGAGGATGTGCCCCTGACATAGCCTCATTAAGTCCTGATGACATGTGCCCAAGGTGGTGAGGGCACAGCTTGGTTTTATATATTTTAGGGAGATATGAGACCTCAATAAATATACATAAGAAGTACAATGGTTTAGTTAGGAAAGGTGAAACATCTTGAAGCAAGGAACATCTTGAAGCAAGGGCAGGAAGACCTGAAACAGGGAGGAAGCTTTCAGGTCACAGATAGGTGAGGAAGACCTGAAGCAGGGAGGAAGCTTTCAGGTCACAGATAGGTGAGGCACAAACAGTTCATTTTTTTGAGTTTCTAGTTGGTCTTTCTAAAGAGGCAATCAGATATGCATCTATCTTGGTAACTTTGAATAGAATGGGAAGCAAGTTTGCCCTAAGCAATTTCCAACTTGAGTTTTCTTTAGAGATTTGGGGGCCCAAGGTATTTTCCTTTCACACTAGTGGACTGAACATAGTGAGGCAGCTGTTATCAGTTTAATCAGTTGTAGTGGACATCGTTATGCATTTTATATCTAACACTCAGAAGAATGGATGGACAATTTTCTTAACTAGGCCTCAAGAAATTGTTGAGTAATAGTGAATTCTAGGTTATAAACCTCCATTAAAAGCACTTGGCATAAAAAATTTTAGAGTTCCATTAGGGGAAAATGTGTATCTTTTAATATGCATCCAAAGAGAAGGAATGCTATTTCCTCATGAAAGGAAGGAGTCGTGAATTTCTCCTTATCTCACCACATAAGTGCTCCAAGAAGCAACCATCAGGAAACACCAAGAGTTTTCTCAAAATGTTTAGGATCCACTTAACACAAGGAATAAGGAGAAATTTAAAGAACAAAATTCTACATCACAGAGTATTGAAAAAATGTTTAGCCTGGAGAATTTTTAAAAGTAGTCACTAATCATAAAAATATTTCAACCAAGTGTGCATACAGTGTCAAATTAGTATGTCTTCCAAGAAAAATTTTCTGTCTCTCCGGGAGGTTGTTTGGATAAGAATTGTAATGTGAAGGGACTTAAATATTAGGTAATTTTGATTAATGTAAGTAGGAGTTACCAAGGTGGGTGACTTTAGATTTAGATTAGCTTATTTTAAGCCATATTGTGTTGTTAATAAATAAAGAATAAACCTTGTTGTTTCATTAATTGATCTCTAAATCATGAAAATAAAACTATATAATCACAAATAAAAGAATGGTAATATTTTCTCCTTTATACTGAAAGAAGGGAATAACAAATCATTTAGGGAATGAGGAATTTGAATATATTTATCTGAAATTTATGCACTATATAGGAATGTCTTATAAAACAATAAAAATGTAAAAATAATTGTCCACTTAAGAGATATACACACACATACATGCACAATTGTACCTGGGTTCTGCTGGAGTGAGCCATATCCCCTTCATTGCTAAATATATATACAGACAAGAATCTGACTCTATCTTTGGAGCTGCCTTGCATAGTCCTGAATGTAGGGAGATACACACACACACACACACACGTTTTATTTAAATTATGAGAATTCTAATTATTAATAAATACCAGGTTAAGAGAGATACTGGAAGCTAACCCTAAAGTAACTCGACATGCCTTAAATTCAAAGCAATTGGGAAACTTAAGTTAAAATAGAAATTGTTCTGTTATTAGTTTCAAAGAAGACTCATGATGGTTAATCTCTCACTCACAAGTGTCCTTTTGTAATGAACAAGTTAAAC